TGTATCACTTGTATCATATTATATTACATGATATTAGGCCTAGGAAGCAAGAGGCCGCCTCTCTTCTTGACCTTCCCGGCACTCGGAGCCCATGGCTGCCAATCTTGAGGACCACCATGGGGAGGGCACGGCGCCGGGCACTTAAGAGTGCTGTGGATTTCGGAGGCCTACACTGGCCTACACTGTGTTGCTGCTCTTAATACTACAAAGAGGAGTCATGTATGTGGGTCTTCCACCCAGGAAAATTTGCATGCTGGCGATTGGCATCGGATATTTGTTTCCCATCTCAGCGATTTGGGCTGCGTTTGACTATTGGAAGGCGCCGCCTGGACTATCCTAAAAGTATTGCGGGAAGTAAGAAGCTTGCATCGCTTTTGAGACAGACCTCCCTAAGTTCTGCTCTATCTGGGCCAGGTCTTGTTCCCAGACAAGAACATCGAGTTTGTTGTGACAGTCGTCTACCAGGACTCGTGAAAATGCTCCATTCCTTGGCCTCGTCACCAGAACCCTGAACTCTTTGCACAGATTGGTTCCGTTGGCACTGTGGCACTTCTTTCGTTGACAGAAACTTTCTCGCCGGCGCCCTGGCATGGCTGCAGCCCTGAGCCCCTCTGCCTCCTTGGAACACATGGGTGTGAGTACAGCCGTACCATGCCTTTGCATGTTGCATCCCTAGGCCCTAGATCTGCTCAGCCGTGCCTCAGGTTAAGACGCCGCATCGTGGGCGGCTTTCTCGGCCAGTTCTTCTGCCTGGCTGCAATCCTCAGCTTCAGGCCTCTGCTGATCTCATGTCACAGAGGTCTCAACTGTTTTTTGCGCCAATGTCTTCAGGTGGCTGCTGCTCCCGCCGGCCGTGTCTGCGGGACTCGCTTAGAAGAGCACTCCTGCAACCAGAAAAGCTTCATTATGCTTCATTAGTGGGTTCTTGCGGAGTGCCAGGCTTTACCAACTGTTGCTGGGCTTGGTGCTTGTGTGCCGGTTCCTCGGGAGCAGATGTGAGCTCCATTTGTAATGCATCTGCTTCAAGGCTCTGTCGCTACTGGCTACTTGGACTCTGCTTTGCTGTCCCTGTGCTCGCAGCAGGAACCTGAGATGCCGTCGCAGTGCCTTGTATGGGTTTTGGTTTGCGCTTGCTCAGGTATGCATCGACAATGCAGCAGTGGTTGCAGATAGGCCATGTGACCCTGTCCCCGAAGAATGACGGTTTGCGGGCTTGCAAGCGCAGGCATCGGCTTTGGTACCCTCGTCTCTGTGGTCTACCGGGATGCAACAAAGCTTCTGATGTCGCATGACATCCAAGATGCCACCTGCCGTGAGCCAAGTCTTCAGGGAGTGCACTTGCCAAGACTGCCGGTGTTTGGCAATAACGACGCAACAAATCATGGTAGCATAGTATCGTAAAACATAATACGATATAATGTAATATATAATCTCCTAATATGATACAGTTGAATATAATACAATATGCTCTAATGTATGGATCTTCAGGACAGCATCCTGCACGTCAGAGATGCACCCGCCTGGGTAACCTGTGACCCTGAGGCGCTTACTTCTCCATCGCACTGGCGACTGTCATCGTCTGCTTAGCATCATACAGGCCTGCCCTGGCGGCACAAACCATGCAAGCCAATGCAAGCTCTTTAAATTCCTAAAGACAGAAGACATCTTTGCCTACATCAATATGCCACTGCCTGGTATGTGTAGTGTTCTAGTGTCTTGCAGGTTACTCATGTCCTTGCCCGTGTCGCGGCACGTGCGTGCAGCAAGTGCCTTCCGCCTACATACACGAGCTTGCATGTGGCTTTTTATAGTGCGGGTTTCAGTGAGACCCAAGGGCCAGCTGGATGAGAAGCTTCTGGACAATGCAACCAGCATCGAGTCCCCGCTGCCCTTAGCCTGCGGCGCGGCCCCCTTGATCCGCCCCTGTTTCCGGGCAGTGGCGGCTTCTTGCATGTTGCAAGGATTCAGCCCGGGAGGTTGTCGAGACTCTGAGGAGAGCTGCGGGGGTTTTTGTTTTCGCAAGGATCGCAGCGTTGAAGGCAAGTGGGGGAAGCTCTCGAGGACTCTCCAGCAGAGCTCGAGCTGAACTGTAAGGCAGCCGTGCAGGTGATGAGAGTTTTTGTTATTGCTGGATATGTTGCCCTCTGTGAGCTCTGTAGGCCGGCAGCAGTTTCAAAACTGTGATACAGCTGGTCTGGCGAAACCAGCTGGTGAGGGACCTGGGGAGACATGAGAAGCAGCTCTTTTGTTTCTTGCATCAGAAGAACCCAGGCCATCATTGCAAACTTCACATTGACGACCTTCTGCTATCCCGGCCTCATCACCGCGATCCCTTGCAGGCCAACGCTGTGAACGCGTCTGCAACCAGGAGACACACCGGATGCAGGCAAATGCTCTGGCTACAACCAGGACATTGGTTTCAGACCATCCTTCTAACGGTTTCCGGCCTCAGGAGTCTCATCTCAGCCCGGGCCGCCAGGGGCTCTGTGGACCATGTCAAGGTCTTCACGCTCTTTGACATTTCCGCGCGGTTTGTGACGCACATCCGATGCGGCCTTCACCATGGGAACATCCAGGTGGACGTGTCTGCAGCTGCAAACGAAACCTACACCTGATCCTGACTCTTACAAGTCCTACGTAGACCTTGAACCCGACAGAAAAGTGCCTCCTCGCAGTGGACTGTGGTCGTGCGGTCGGCCCTTCTCCCGCTGATGATCTTTTGCGCGGTCTCGGTCCACGTCTTAGTCATCTTAAAGGGAATGGCCCGGATCATAATGATCAATGAGAATGCTTTCGGTACATAGCCATGCGAGCTATGACAATAGCAGCAAGTGTCATGAGAAAATCATGGTAGCCGTGGCAAAGGTAAAGTCATGCGCTGACTGAGTAAAGCGTAGGGCGATGTCAAAACGTACCACAGCAGCAGAAAGTTGTTGCGGGAGCTTTGCTAAGGATTCGTCCAGCGACCTGCTTGCGATGGCCGTGGTGGCCACCTTTGGATTTTTAAACGGGTACTGTGTGTGACGCTCAGAGCACGCGAGAACCGGGCAACACAGAATCTTTCTCATTCTTTCTCTTTTGTGTTGCGACTAGCATGGTGCGAGCAGTGCTCGCCTAGGCCTCATTATGCCTCATTGTCATCAATGAGATTCCGACTCTGAGTGCCGAGCAGCGGAAGACGTGCGGACGTATTTCTGCGATGGCCTCTGTTTCCGGAGACTTTACGCGGTACGCACATTTTGGATTGAAGCAGCGAAAGGGCACACTTTGGAGTCGATCCTTTGCGAGGCTTGCTTCGTGAATAGCGGCCGAGGACTCAGACCCCGAAGAATTTCTTCTTCAGCTCTTGCGACCGGCCAAGAGCCGCACCAGGGTAAACAGCAAGGCAGAAAAGCAAATGTGCGAAGGCTGGATTCACTCAAGAATCTGTTTGAATTACGATTTGCGACGCAGCTGAAACAGGAAGGGTTCGGAACTCAGGAAGCCTCTCAAACGTCGCTATAAGGCCTGGCGCTGGGCTCTGTCGGCGGGGCCCTGGCTGCCCACGTCTTCGCTCTCGGCTCCTAGGGCACGATGAGAAAGAGTCACTTTGTTGCATCAGCGCCGCGATCCGTCGAGCGGAGACGGTTTACCAGTAGGAGAGAGCTGACTGATGCTGGCAGTAAGATGCCAAAGCATAGAAAGCAGAAACTGGAAGCCAGGCTGCTGCTGAGAGGGCTGCAGTTCTGGCAGCGTTTGTTTTGCTTTAGCCGTCATTGGCAGGATCGCAGACATATACCAGAACAACAGGCAGACCACAAAGTGGTTTGTGCGCATAGAGCCTGGTGGATGCTGCCTGCGAGTCTGAAAGTGTTCTGCTCTTGAAACCTGTTGCCGCACCCTTCGTGTAGTCACTTGCACAGGGGGGGATACTCAAATAGTGTATGTTTTCAGACATGCGAGATCACACGAGCATAGGCACACAGGGTGTCCAGGAGATGCAGACGATTATGACAATGTCTATGTTCAGTATGTTCATATCTTACGAGCTGGATTGAGTTGATCTGATCGACTCTTCACGTTCTTAGCATGAGATGGATCTGCAGCCGCGTGACTCTGAAGAAGCGGCTACAGGGCCACTGGCGAGAAGCAACCCAGATTTAGCATCATGTGCAGTTGGCGCAGTCAGCCACCCATGAATCCCGAACCCATCACGCTCCTAGCCCGAGGGGACCCCAGCCAAAACCCCTTAAGCCCCAGAGACAAGGTGCACTGAGAGAGGCTTTCTGTGCATGTCCCGGTCCTGCGGCAGCGCAGCGGCATGCCCGCGAAGGTGCTTGTCCATGCGGAGAGAGAAGAGATCCTGAAGAAGACGAAGAGATTCACCGTCAGCACCTCACTAGGAACCTCTCGGCCACGATGATATTCATAATCCGTCACCAGCATAGCAACGAGGAAGAGTCATTTCTGGCAAGGCAAATGGCGCCAGCGATAGAATACTTAACCGCAGTGATAAAGAGCATGTCGACTCTGAGCCACTTCAGCCCTATAACCTTAAAACCTTATAAACCCTAAACCCTAAAACCCTAAACCCTAAACCTTATACCCTTAAGCTATAGAGTCCCTTCCCCGGCTGACCTCCTTTCCTACCTCCCTTGGCCTCCCTTGGCAGGCGCCTCGGCCATGGAGGCTCGGCCTCTTCACCTCTCTTGGCCCGGGGTATACTTCTCTAAGTATTGGGGTCCCTTTTTATATAAGGGTTTAGGGTTTTAGGGTTTAGGGTTTAGGGTATACTTCTCTAATTTGGGGTCCCTCTTTATTTTTATATAAGGGTGCCGTACTAAAAAAGGACCCCAACTTAGAGACGTATATAGTATACCCACCTCCTGGCCTTTAGTCCAGACAAGAGTCTGCCAAGACAGGAGTCTTGCAAGAGATGGAAACATTTACCCCAAAAAGTGTAGGATCCTTCTTATCAGGACCCAAAATAAGGTACCCTAAATAGTAGGATACTTATCATAATGGCCCGGTCCAGCGGAGTTCATTTCCTCGCGCAGTCAGTCCTGCAGGCGAAGGGGCTCGAGACTCTCACCTTGTCACCCTTTGAGATCCACTTCTCCCAGACCCGCATAAGGCCAGACGTGTGAGAGCAGCAGAAGCCCGCGGTGCTCACCGAAAGATGCAAGAACGTACCAGGTCAGAGTTTCAAGATGGGCGTCCTTTGCAGCTTGCGCTGGATGAGATCCAGGCTGCAACCAGCAAGTTCCCCATCAGTTTTAGGATGCAGGTTCGAACTGGGTCTAGGAAATCCAAAGAGGAGTCTTCAGGTGATGCCCAACGGGCAAGGAGAGGACTTTCTCCTGGTGCCGCCATTTCCCCGAATCGAGGTTACGAGGCTGGGCCCCGGAACCTAATGGTCTCCATATCTCCCGCACAAGGAAGCTGTGCCAGGTGGCGCTGCAAGCTGCGGGACAGCACTGGCGCTGCAAAGCTGAGCGAAGGGGGCCAGGAGCTCTACAGCCAGGAGGCCTTTTGCGCAAGCAACCTGCATGCCTTCGGCAGAGAGGAGTGGATCAGGAGCGCTGGTTCAGCTTTGACAATCGCCGGCTTTGTTGCCTGCAGTCTGGATCCCGACCTCCGTTCTTGATTTGACATCGCACTGGCCAGCGCAGCTCGAGGCGCGCTGCTGCACAGCATTGGCCGAAGAAAGTGGGGAACTCAGTGCCAAGTCGCTCCATGGACTGAGTCGAAAAGAGCCTGCATGGAGCGATGCAGGTATGCTGCGAAGTGGTTGAGATCCCACAGACATTGGCGCGGACCCGCGAGTTGCGAAAGTTCGACACGCGAAATACCGGGCAGGGGCCCTGTCGTAAGCCTCAAACACTCGAAGTTTCATGCGTGCACGAGTCTTGCAGTGGTGACGAACGCGAGAAAAGACGAAGCTGTAAAGGAATCACTACAGAACGTGTCTGGCTAGCCAAGGCTGAGTGTCCTCGTGGGGCGACGCGATGATCCCAATCCGGAGAAATGGTGCCAAGCATTACTGCTGTTTTCTTTCAGGCTGCTTGAAGTTGCTGACTTCGGTCACATTGCGTGAAAGGTGCTGGCGCACGGAGGTGCACCGCTTAGAGGCTTAGAGCTTCATACTGAGTGCAGCTGGACGAAATAGTGAGAAGCTGACGCAGTGTCTCTAAGCTTGACACGGTGGGCCGTCGAGCCTGTCGTGCTGTTTATCCAGTCAGCCACGCTCGAGGTTGGATTGCCCACTGAGTCCGAGCAGGAGATTGGTGCCTGCTGCTCAGACAGGTGAGACAGGCTTCGTTTTTGGTAAACTGTACAGCAAGACGACCGATTGACAGACATTGACAGAATTAGAGAGAAGAAAGGTAGGAACTGGTGTTGTCCGTTAGCAGTGGCCTGCAGTAGCGTACATGGACACTTGTATCTGACGCTCATGGTAATGATCGGATTTTGAGACTGAGGGTGAGGGCCGTCTTGAGCTGCAGACGAGGGGCGAGGAGCAGGATGATGACAAGTATGACTGCTATGGCGATGATGCTGAAGGAGAAGGAGAAGAACGATGGCAATATACATCTACAACGTTATGTAAATGTGTATGCACATAGGCACAGATAGGTACGGGAAGATCCATATAAACAGCTACAAAGATCGACCTGTATGAATCCTTTATGAAACCTGCATGTGCTGTCCTACTTGATCACTCTGCCCGTCGGTCTAGCCTATTCAAGCCCTATATAGTATATATAGTATGTATATATATATATACATACTATATATATATAGAGATAGATAGATAGATAGATAGATAGATCTAGAAATCGAACCTACCTATCAAATTCTGTTCAGTATTATACTGCTATATACTTGTATACGGTTATATTTTTTACATATCTATACCTGCGGGAACTGCGAGCGGACGAAGCAGGCGATGGCAGGCCTGTGTTAGGAGCTTCTGGGATAAGTCGTGTTGGTTGTTAGTTTTATTGCTGGAGAATTAGGGTTTGTGTGGGTGATTAGTAGGTAATTAGAGATTTTGTGGGTTTTTGCGGGTAAGTGGGGGTTTTGCGGGTAAGACCGCCTAAAACCAGGTGTTCCCCAGCTTACCTTCAGTTTAGGGGGGAATCGGAGCACCAGGTAGAAGTCATCATCGTAGCCGATGTGCCGCAGCAATAACTCAATCAAGCTTGCTCACCGCCCGAAGGACAGAACGAACTGCTACAGCTTTTGCAACATGACAACAAGAAGCAATCCTCTACAAAAGTTGATGTGTTCAGGTGGTTCTGCCCGGTCTCCGCCATCGGGGAGGGCGTCCACAGGAATCTGAGCAAGGACTGATAGCCTCCTGGCTTTTACTAGTGATCCGAGCAAGCCAAGTTGCGTTTGTATTACCATGACAGGCACTACGGAATGACTCCCCCTGCCCATCGTTCTGCAGTTTTTGGACCTCGGCCCAAAGTCTGTCGGTGCAGGACACCTTCCTTTCAAGCGCAATGGACGACGGAGGTCCAAGCAGGGCAGCCCAAGAGGGGGTTTCATCAGGATCAGGAGGTTGAAAGGCATTATTGGCACTGTCAGTCAGTCAGTGCACTATCACTCCCAAGCCGCTGCAATTCAGGCAAGAAGAAGAAACTGCAGGGTCTTCATTTGGCGCCTTGCGTGGGCTGCTGTCTCACTGGCCTGGTTGGTGTTCTGCTCATGTTTGAGCGTGTATGTTCAGCTACTAGTAGTAGTAGTAGTAGTAGTAGTAGTAGTAGTAGTGAGCGGACAGCGAAGCATTGCAGTTCGGAAGATACACTTGATAAGAGCTATGAGAGAGCAACAGTTCCAGAGTACGACTCCAGTCTCTGAGTCGTATAAGGCATCATTCACAAGCTCGATAAACGCAACTGGTGTGGCTCAAGAAATTAGCCATCGAGCTAGTAAAGCCAAAAAAGCTTACTATTACTCTTGACCTCGGCTCAGCCACACGTCAAGCTTCCCGTGCATTCCTTGCAAGGAGTGCAGTGGATTTGTGCTTGGAAAGGAAGTTGGGTTCCACTTCGTGAGCTGAGAACCTGCACGTTCCAACTGGCAACATCAACTATATCTATTAGCTCTTGGTCGGGTGAGCGATACATCGAGATCAAATCCCCGCGTAGTAATAGATAGATAGATAGATAGAT